TAATCATGATCTGCATATCAAATAACTCCTCTGGAAGAACTCTGAGCGGAATCCAATACTTAGAAATTTTGAAGCGTTGTAAGTGGAATAGTACCGAAGCTTATCACGAAGAAAGGATATTCATAATCTTAGACTACAAACTATCATCTGTAACTGAAGCGTATCTATTTAAGTGTATCAGTTTCGCGATTTTCGGTAGCTTTTCGTAGAAATTTTAACCTTTTATTCACGCTCAACTTTCTTCTGTTCTTTCAGATTTACGTTAACATCTTCTTAGGTCGTTACAAGAAAATAGTAGGCATTTCATTCATAATCTCATTTCGGTAATCCAAAACAACAACATAAACAATGAGAATAATACAACAAAAGCAGATAACAAAGATTCCTGCTTAATCCGAGTCATTTTCCTGCTTCAACCCGCTCTCTTCATCGCTTTCTTGAGGCTCCGTCTGAAACGCAGAACAGCATCGAAAATTTATCCAATACATATAGATTCTCACCTTACTGACACTATCTTCACCATCTTCTTTGTAAACTTTAAAGTTAGATCCCTCTAGCCTCCGTTCCGTTTCTCTTCGCTCTTTAGCGCTCATTTTTTTCGACATTTCTTCAACCAATATTCGTTGCCGTTCGGCAACTGCATTAAATAACTGAACCACACCTCTAAAATTGCCAAATTGAGCCTTATGTGTATGTTCCAACAATTTTTTTTTGTCTCTACCATGACTATTTCATAAAGTTCATTCTGAATGAACTCACTTCGTGGCAATTCTTTTCAATAGTCGTTCTTTTTCTTTATTCGTTGTAACATCAGGTTTTACAAGACCAAAAATCTTCTTATCATGAGCTAATCTTCGCTTTTCGCTCAACTCTGCTCTCGTGTGTTTCTTTCGCCTCTGGAGCCGTTTCAATTTCAGCTGCAGTGGGAATCGCATTTGGATATCAGTAATTGGTGATACAACGAGAAAAGCGATAGACCTGATTTTTCGGTTCTGAAGGGAATGATACTATATCCGATGTTGTTGTTTCAAGTTCGACTGTCGACGGTTCATCTTTGCGAAAATCTGCAAATAAGGATATAACAGTAGGAAAACTCATGAATTTACGAATTTGTGTTGAGTAATCCCAAACCAATCTTTTACTATATATCTAATGAAAAAAGAATCAAAACGGAGAGATAGAAAACAGCATTTTTTAGCTAAATT